AAACGACTGTTATTGATCGATTTCGAGCAGTAACGGGGCGGAAACAACCTCAATCGATGGTACAGAAGAAACAACATTTTTGCTAAAAGGCTGTCACACACTATGGAATAAGCCTAATGCTTGCCAAATGACTCAAAAAATAGAAGGTACAAGAGAGAAATAATTATTTTGGTCAAATCTCTTTGTAACAACATTCCATATAGAGTCTGGAACAAAAGTTTTATCAACTCGTTGTCCAAAACTTATAGCTTTTTACATTTACCATCTTGCAAGTCTGCCCTTACTCTTCCATGCCGGCATTCTTTAGTAAAGTGATCACCCATCAGTAAACAGAGCATGCCATTTTTCCTTATTATCATGTGGGCCACTTTGAACGCCAAGGACAGCCATGACTCTATTTTGGCCTTCATTGTTTACATATTGCATTTCAGATTGTTTTTTGCTTATGTGATCTTAGTGGGACCTTTCTTTATAGATATTTTGTTTTTCATGTGTTCAGGTCAAGTTCTTCTTTCTAGGTGGAGTATTCTTATATATCTTTTAATTGGAACGATGCAACATATACTGAATGTTGTTAGCTTATGCTCTTGTATGTTGGCATAAGAATTTAATCTTCATATGTTTTTAAATGGTTTAAACTCATGCTAGCAATGGTTACTAAGTAACATAATTAGAGCCAGAAGAATTTCTTGTCTATGCCCATGGTTGCTATAATTTTCTTTGAACATATTGATTGCATCCAATTTTTTTAATTATTTTATCTGTTTCACCACTGGATGAGAATATTTCAAGTAATTGTGTAAATTTTTTTAGTTTTTTTTTTGTTTGTGTAATTCATTCTTCCAGTAATTGTACTAAAAAAGCTTAGTTTATTTAAAAATTTTCTCTAATGATTGTAAGGAACAAGAAACTGTAGCCAAACAGAAATGAGCTTAACTTGTTAGAACTATCCATTCCACTAGCATACTAATTTCTATTTCACTCTTATGCTCCAACCAAGCAAGATCTTGTATCTTTGATATTAAGAGACTCAATTCGGCAATTTACTTGTTTTGTGCATTTGAAGGTTGTTGGCAGAAAATACATAAGACTTTATCCAGCTTCAGCATCAGAGAATTTGTATCCGCATGCGGAATCCATGCTTAGCAATTCCAGCCAGGTATGCAGTTTCTAGAGGCCTTGACACTGATCTGCATATGTAAATGGCATCGATAGTGGGCTTAACAAAATGGCCTGATATGGGAGTATGGATTTTTCCATGTTGCTTCTATAGACATTTTTGTATGGTACAACTAAGCATATATTCAAGACCCTGAGTATGTTTTGATAGTTATGCTCCAATTCTGGTTGTATCTGGTCCTTGATGATTAACAACATCAGAACCTTTCCATCAATGTGATGATTATTTTTAAAAAATCATTCCTATTTCATTAATGTTTATTATGTATTTGCCAAATACTTTAGTGGATAATGTCAGACAGTATATACTGTTACCAGTTTCTGAAGTGTTCCAATTCTTGGTGTTCTTTTGGATCCGTCTGCAGGTTGACCTTGACAACATTGACTACCAAGAATTCCCAAAGGTGGAAGGTCTGGATTTCATTGATTGTGTCCTCGAGGAAGGTGAAATGCTTTACATTCCACCCAAATGGTGGCATTATGTGAGATCACTTTCGACAAGTTTCTCTGTCAGTTTTTGGTGGAGTGCAACAGCCAGCTCTCTCCAAGGCACATAGTACTAATCTTTGTTATTCCACAACCATTTATTGACTAGGGTGGGATGGTAGAGAATGATAGAAGCACAGGATGCATGCTCCTTCCCATTTAGATACACAAAAGGGCCCACTATTTGGGATCCACCATTACAGGATTTAGTGTTATCGTAGGATGGAAGTCTTATAACAAACCAAAGCATATACTATCACATTTTTGTGGCATTGAAGTAGAACAGCATTGCTACTGTAACTGTTCTAAATCGGCAGTGATACAGGTTCCTTGTTCTTGTCTATTTGGTCATCATGTATCAACTGATCCACTTATACTAGGGGTTTCTTGTAATCTTTTTAACCATTCAACATGGTTCTACTCCGATTATTGTGATATGCAGATGAAACATGATTGATTGCTACTTTGGTAATTGTTTTTGGAAGTGCCTCATCTTTGGATGAATGTTAATAGTGAAATTAAAGGATGCAAACATTTGCTGAAATTTCTTTATGTGATACTTCCATTAGAATTTATTCCCACTTGCATGTTTAGTCTGAGAATCCAAAGTGGGATGTGTGCTTTGTAATAATTAGAATTACTTCCTATATGTAGGTGGAAAGAAGCAAAGTTAAGCAAAAAGTTATAGTACCCAATCTGTAATTGGTTTTACATGATCTTGCCTGCATCACACATCACTTCCTGAGCAAAACATCAAATTTAGGAAATGAATAATTTTAATATTTTGCTAATTAGTCATAGATCAACATAATATTATGATGTCAAACTGTGTTACTGGAATGTTCCATCACATAGATTTGCAACCCAAGTTTGGAATGTGGTATAGCATCAAATGAATTGTGCAGGCACTTTGCGCACCTCAACTTTCTTTAAACTTGCATTATGGTATCAGTTCTTTTCTTATGTCTTGTTAATTGTAGGGCCTGGCAATATCTTGTTTTGTCCTTCTTTGTTCTGTTTCAACTGCTAGAGTGTAAAGAGGATTAAACTTTTGACTTGAATTTGTCTGGCTTTATGAACTTAGATACCAGTCAATCCAGTGCAAAAGAATATTAGAAAAGGATCTTGATGGAAGGAGATGATGTCTGGAGTTGTGTGCAAAATGTTGACCATGCTTGGCATCTTGTCAGAGCCTTATTTGTTCCTGTTGTGGAGGCTACTAGAAAGCTATAAAAGCATCCATTGAGTTGTATTGACTTGTACATAGGGAAAGAACAGAAGCAACAACAGCACAGGAATGTGAATTGATGGATTAGGATGAGAGGAAGGGAGAATATTTTTGCTGATATGTGTCATCTACCTCACACCAAACAGCTGTCCATTGGGATGTACACCAACAGCTCTTCTCATTTCTCTCTAAATTTATTTTTAGCTACTACTTTTCTGCCACTTGAATTTACTAGATCTCCATTGTGCAATCCAGTTGGTTGGATGTGTTGCATCATAAAGATGGATGATGAGGCCTCCTGTAGTGAAATAATCAAAACTCACATGGGTTTGATGCTTGTTTCTGAAGAGAAGTGAGATGTGGGATTGGAAGAACTTTGACTTGGATGCTTGTTTCTAAAGAAACATGAACTGGGGGAGAGAAGAACTTGAGCTGTCTTGGCAGCAGAAAACAAGGGGTAAAGAGATTTCAGCACAATTTAATTCACTCTTTTAAGACCTGCATCTAATTCTCATCCACAACACCAAGTTGGTCATAGAGTACATTAATGTTACACTGCTACATTTATTTGCCATATTAGTGTCACCATCTCTGTAAATTGTGTCATTTTTTGTTCCAATACTTAAATGTACATTTGCCATATTAATGTGCTCTGTAAATTATAGGCCATTTTTTTTGTTCAAAAGCTTCTCATGCAAAAATGCATGCATGTGGCAAATTATAAATCCTCAAAGATCTTCTCCATCATCCATTCATTGGCTTTGCATGTTATTTTAATTCATGATGCTCTCCCTTGATTCTCTGATGCAAATTAGATTTGAAGGGATGAAGGAAAAGTAGGTGTTCCTTTTATTTCATTGGAGCAAGCATGGAATGATAACTTCAAGGGAGTCAAACCTCAACCAAGAAAAATGGAATTGGGTTGGAAACACTAGAATTCTCCACTGCAGTCTTCTCCATCTCAAGTCAACAAGGGAACAAAGCAGCGGCCACCGCATTGCTCAATATTAATGGTGTGCTCACTGTCCAAGAACATGTATTAAAATGCTCTCTTCTCAAAGCCAATTACCTTCTTATCTTTTCCCCCAGCTGATAGAGCTATATTCGAACAGGGAAAGTGTTCTCTGGGCAACGTGACGAGGGGACCGAGGCAAAAAAGCTTTTTGCCTTCTTCTTCTTCCTCTAAGCCCTTTTAGTGGACCTCATAATTCTATCTGGCAATGGCCCCTACCATGTACCAGAAGGATGCAAAAGTGACTGAGAACACAGTGGAAAGCATATAGAGGCCATCACTGGGTGGGTACTGTTTATGTTTGCAAGGCTTCAACAAGCAGCAGGAAGGAAAGAGAAAACTAGCAGAATAATATTCTGCAGAATATGTGCATCTCCAACCGCTGTTTCTCTTTCTTGGCTTCTTTACCTCATGAACGGTTGTAGAAGTTCGTTCTTATGCCTTGGATTGCAGGGGGGCTTTTTGTGGTTTGTAGCGGAGTTTTGACTCGCCCAATAGATGTGCTTCTCGAGTTTGGAGAAAGAAAGCACGAAGCAGAAGGTTTGAACTCTCGAGGAAGTGAGGCCTGCAAGCTCCTTTTTTGCTGCTGCTTACGGCGCATGCATGCCATGGTGCATTATGACAAGAAGCAAAACATGATTGCCATCTCTTTCTCTTTCTCTCTCTCTCTTTGTTTAGAATAGAAAAAGTATGAAGCAATTGCATTTTGCATAAAATCTCTCTCTCTCTCTCTATCTATCTACTTTTGTTAGTTGTTGTAACCTGACACAAATCGACTGTAGTAACTCTAGCCATAATAAAACTTGCAGCTGCTCACAGAGGTTAAAGAAAGAGAAACTAATATGCTATCTTAGCTGGTTGATAATGACATCTTCAGCATCTATAACACATAATTGAAGCTCCATATCTCAAACAAATCCAATAAAGATTAGATGATGAATGGGGCACGTACTAGTGATGTGCCATCTCCAACAAACAGCCCACTGCTTGCGTCGGTTGTCCTAATAATGCCATCTCCCAACTCTGGAAACAAGCAAGCAACACTAACTCTTATTCTGCAGGCTGATAAGCTAGCTAGAGGACCATGGAAGAATGGATAGTGACAAATGCATCTTCTGATGTTGGACCAAATCCAACAGTCTTAAAGAACATATAGAACCAAGTCCGATCTTGTAACATAAAAGCATTTTGGTGATTTAGGTTCTGAGATGAGCTCAAAGCAAGAGGAGTTGATGCATTCAGATCTCCATGCCACTCCATGTGATGTGACTTTAATGTTGGTGCATTTCTAATTTGCATCATCATGCAAGCAGCCCCTGGAGCTGCCAAGCAGATCCAGGTCAAAGAAGAAAGAGAAAGGTTTCGTTCATGGAAGTAGTAAAAAAAGGCCATGGCAAGTGGTGGAGATGGTGCATCTCTTCATGGTCATTCATGCCACTGAGCACTAAATTATGGAAAGGAGCTTTCTTTTTGGTGGAATACATGTATTTAATGCTTTCCTCCACCCTGTCCTTGGAGTTGTGTGTGCCTTTTACCCAGAACTTGGATTTGCTTTCTCACCCTCTTGTCTCTGCTTTTTTATGCTTCCCTTCCTGCCAAAGGTGGTGTTGTTGGATATGATCACCTCACTCAGGCTACAGCTAGTACCACCACCCCTTCCTGCCGTTGAGCTCGATCCCACCCATGCCATGGAAGATGCTGAGCTCCATGGATTTGCCTAGCGGCGGCGGTGGTGTTGCTGCTGCTGCGCAGGCTCATGGGATCAACAGGCAGCACGTCCAGGCGGCCATTGTGAAGGCAGCTGAGCTGAGGGCGCTCCACGCGGCGCTGCTCCAAGGTGGCTCCGGCGGCAGCCCCGCCGCGGTGAGGTTGCCCGCCGGTGCTTCCCCTTCCGTTTCTCGCGGAGCTAGCCAGTTCACGGTACCTGAAGATTACCCGGTCTTCACGCCGGTGAGTTCTTGCTGCTCATCTGATTCGGCTTTTGCGCCGCTCTTGCTTGTAAAGTTTTGGTTTTTCTGTCGAGTGTACCGCTCTCCAGTGAGGAAGGTGGCATTTTGTTACATGCTTTCTTGATCGATTGGGGGGCATGTCATGGCATCTCTTGACAGATTCTTGCTGATTCCTTTGTTTCTTGTTGGATACATGACGTTGAGCTAACATTACTCCTTTCTAACCAAGTTTATTGATCTCAGTGAGTGTTTTGGTGACGGTACGGATTTTAAGCACTTGGGCTTCTGCTAGCTTCCAGGGTTTCTGCATCCCCTTCAGTCTTGTTCTAATCACATTTTAATGGATTATACTATCACTGTATTGTATTCCCCATAGGAGCTGTGGGAGTAACTGTGTGTCTTGGTTTCTTTATTTGGATTCTTGCATGTATGATGTGTAGTTGAATCATCTTATTCTTGCCTTCGATACTTTGGCTGAATGGTTATTTGCTAGTTTACCAAAAGTTCATTACAGCTTGATGAGTGGTTAAAGTGTTTGCTAGATAACAATTACAAGCTTTTGGTGCCTTTTCTCATTAGATTGTCTTCATGTATGGAAATGAAACAAGGAACAAAATAAACTCTGAGGAAAGGAAACCAAAAGCAACAAAAGTGAATACAAATGAGTAACAAATGGTCTGCATGACTTAACAAGAGGGCAAAATTGTTACTTTTTGAGAGGACAGCCTTAGTTTTGAAGCAAACCTTTAGCTGAGAAAATAATCTCATAGTTTTGAACCTCTCTTTTTAATGCTTCTATTTCATGTCCTATTGTGAGTATTTAAATTACCTGCATTAACCCAAGAGGAAGCACCTGTGTGGTTGTCTCTTTATGGTTCTTTACATGCTTAGAAATCCATGCAAAAGAATGAGAGAGCAGCGTGTTATCTGTTCTCTCTCAAAGTAGGAACTGTCTTGCAATTGTTTGAATGGATAGATTGGACTACTAATGTCCTAGTTTTGTTAATCTCGCTTTACATCCTCTTGCTCTCACTTATCTTTGTTTTCCCTTATTTTTCTATAATTCAGCATATTTACTATCTTGCCGAACCTTTCACAACACCAAGATTGATCTGTGTTAGTTTTCCCAATTTCAGGTTGATGAACATCATCCTTGTCCCAAAATACACTCATGCAAACATGAGCATACTATATGTCATGAATCTTCATGGTGCTCTATACTCAGTTTCTCCTCTTTAATCAATTTGTGAGGATCTTGAGAGTATCAGAATATTTATTAACCTTGGTAGCTCTTTAATTTTTGACTCATTTATGTTATCCTTTGAGTTGACTTTGACCAATTCATGCAATGCAATATCTAAGCTTCTCCCAATTCCTTCTACCAATTAGTATGGTCATGTGACGGAGTGAGATCGATCAGTTCCTGAAGCTATTCTAATTAAAAGGGCCGCATTTTGGTTAATTTTCCATCTATTGTAGAAGAAATATGATTTTACATCTTTCTGGTTATTGTAGAGGAAATATGATTTTACATTTTCCTGGTTACTGTAGAGGAAACACGAGTGCACTAGAAATATTTTGTAATTTATTATCATCTATCTTGATCCTCTGTTGTACATAGATACTAGACGAGAATGAATGCCAGCATGAAACAAGTTACTCGCTACATTCCTTTTTTATCTTATTTATTGGACATGCTTCTAGAGCAAAATTATGAAACAATTACTCTTAAATTGTGTTTTTATAGGATTCTCATGCTGGAATGTTAAAATTATTCAATTTGGTAATTTCCTGTAAGTTTCTGGTCTATTTTCAGAACATTTCACTGAGTTACTAGGGATTATACTAATTATTAGATAAAACTGATAACATTCTAATTGCTCAAAAAAGAAGTGCTATTTGGAACCATGCTTCCAGGATTGTTGTCAATTGCTCTTCTATTCAATTTGTTACATTGTGTGGTTTGTCAAATAATCTTCCCTTCTTTATTGAGATTTCCAACAGAGTTATGAAGAGGACCCCCTGCCCGGATACCACTATTTTCATCCGGAGAATAGAAGCTTATCGCAAATCTGGAATGAAATCGGTCTGGAAGAAGGAAAATATAGTGAAGCAGTTGCCTTTGTTAATAGAAGTACGAATAAGCTTTCTCCATCAATCAGTGAACTGCACATTCCCTCTGCAATTGAGAATGTATCCAATGGAACCTCATGCGCTAACCATATGCCCCTGCTGCAACCCTCTTCGGAAGCTGATGATGTCAAGTCCTTAGGTAGAAGAACAGAATCTGGAGAATATACAACAGTCTTGACAAACGATACATGCAACCAAGAAACTGTAAACATGGAAGTGGGTGGTGATCGGAAGAACCTCAAGAATGCCAAGCGCACAGAGGTCTCACACGATCCCGAGCAATCTGTAAAGACACACATAAAACACAGAGGGTCAGGTCTTTCATGGTTGTTTCCAAAATCAAAAAAGAAATCCAAGCCGGAGATGTCACCGAAAATGATGGAATCTGAGGGCATGTCCCAAATCTTGAAGGAATGGGGGGTTCTATCACTGGAATCGCTGAAGAAGGAGCTCCTCGAGGCCAATGAAAACAGGGATGCTGCACTGGCAGAAGTCTCAGAGATGAGGTCCTCATTGGGAGAGCTGCAACAGAAGCTAGTCAGTTTAGAAGCATATTGTGCAGAGCTGAAGAAGGCCTTAAAACATGGTATGCATCCAAAGAGTTCCCAGATTTCGGACAGATCTAATTTGTCAAAGAGAACAAAGGCCATGAGCAGCAACAGAGACAATTCGATGCCTGTGAGCCAAGAGGTAATGGTTGAGGGCTTCTTGCAGATAGTTTCAGAAGCCAGGCTCTCAGTCAAGCAGTTCTGCAAGATGCTCATCCACCAGATTGAGGAATCCGATGATGATCTGTCAGAGAAACTAAATTTACTTCTCCAGCCACATCAGATGGCACTGATCACTGGTAAGTACTCAAAAGGAGTTATCTATCATTTGGAAGCATTCGTAAACCAAACTCTATATCAGGATTTCGAGAACTGTGTGTTCCATAAGAATGGTTGTCCAAAATTTCTGGATCCCCGGGAAGAGTGCAGGGAGAACTTCTCATCTTTTGTTGGGCTTCGGAATTTGAGCTGGAACGAGGTGTTGCAGAAAGGGACCAAGTACTACAGTGAGGATTTCAGCAGGTTTTGCGATCAAAAAATGAGCTGCATTGTTTCCATGCTTGACTGCTCAGCGCCATGGCCTGAGCAGCTTCTGCAATGCTTCTTTATCGCCGCCAAGTGTATTTGGTTGCTCCATTTGCTGGCCTTTTCCTTCAGCCCACCCTTGACGATCTTGCGTGTCGAGGAAGATCGTGAATTCAATCCCCTCTACATGGAGGATATTCCCTTGGACAGGCACAGACTGCAAGGCGCTACCCGAGTTAAGATCATGGTGATGCCAGGATTCTATGTTCAAGATAGGGTGCTGAAGTGCAGGGTCCTCTGCAGGCATGGTTCTGTACCATAATCATTCATTCCAAAGAATTCTTTTCTTTTTCTTTAGCACCACATTTCGGCTTTCTGGAGTGATCAAAATTGATGTTTCATCTCCATAACTGCATGCTTCTCTTTTAATCTCTCTTCTCGAGTACAGTTTGTAATATCCAACTAACCACAAGTGACCATTTGGAGAACTTGTAGTGGATCCTGTCATAATTATGAACAACTAAAGAAATTTGATCACAGTTACCTGATCGATTCATTGGATTGTGAATTGGTGAAAATATAGAGTTACCGGATGTCAACTATGATATTTGTCTGGTTTACACTAAAACTACTGCTTGTTCCAATATATAAAATGAAATAACATTTATTTATTTCAGGTAATTATTACCTGATAACATCCATGCTTAAGTGAGCAGATGAGGCCAATGAACACAGAGAACAGTATAACTTTTTGCTCAAGATCTTCCAAAGACGGCCAGAGTTTCGCAGCTCCAGCTCCCCTAGATTTTGATCCTAGAAATCGATGAGAAAAAAAGTGGGCAGAAGACAAGATTTTTCTTTCAGAACTCTCTGAAACGATTGAATAAAGCAGAATAAAAGACCTTTAAAACTTGGTGAGAATAGAACTGCTATAAGTCAACGCAAATTGAGAAACAAAAAGGAAGAAAACACTATCTGCAGGCAGGAGCTCACCGATGTGAAATTTTCTTTCCATAAGAATTTTCTTTTCCTTTTCTTTCTAAAAGACATAAATCAATTGAAGAAACAAATAGCTAAAGCTCCAATATCAGAAAAAAATTTATAGTTCGCGTATATACTGAAATGTCAGTCATGAAGCTGCTTATGTTGAGTGCAGTGTTGTGAGCATCCATGGAGGTTTTGGTGGGTGTTGTGCTAATGTTCTTCCTCACTCAGAATCTGTTCCACAAGTCCTAAAAAGATCGAGACCATAACCATCGACTTACTGCGATCTATTCAGGTTGTAGATGTTCCCAACGAGAAAGGCCACCAAAAGAATCAACAGTTATTTACCTGATTGAACTGTTTGATGCTCCATTGTTTAGTGCAATAGCTTTCTTCCAAGCACCTTTGTGCTTCTAATATCCAGTCATGGAAATTTTGATGTACCTGAATAAGAATCGTCAAAGCTATTCATTCTTGATGGCATCATCTATAAATATAACAGGTGCATACTAGAAGGAAGACGAAGGTATCGGGAGAAAATGACTGTAATTTGCTAGCCGGGTTATCTTCTAATCTCTGCCATTGTTTCTTTGCATCTTCCAGTTTTGGGATTAAAGCTGCTGATGTGTTGAAGTTTAGGATTCTGTGTCTTTTTCAGGCCACGCACAGTAGATGAGAGTTGACTTTTGTTTAGCTCTAGAGGATTGATCTGTCCTCAAAGTCAAACATAAGCAGCAATAGGACACGAAGATCGGAGTTGCTTTCTCATATTTTTCACACGTTATTCAACTTTGTTTGAGGAAGAAATCGAAAAATACATATTTCTAATTTTTGTAGGCCACGGGGGATGAGGGTTGACCTTGGCCAAGGGTCAAACGTAAGCAGCAGCATGTGAACACGACGATTGGGATTGCATTGTCATATCGTTCACAATTTCTTCTTGAAAATAATTATAAGCTGATATCTCAAAGTAGCAAGTCAAATCTGGTAGCTGATAACTCAACTGATGCAACAAGTACTACTCCATATCACTATTTCTCACTGTACAAACCTCCAAATCAAACTAAAAACCTCAGAAAATACAAATAAAAAACAACAACAAAATAGATTAAGCTATGTAAAACATTTTATCCTTTCTCGCACTCTTTGCAGATTGGAACCACTAGAACTGGCAGAGAGTTCTTGTTCACTGCTGGCCCGAAGGCAGCAGCTCACCGGAGCACATTGGAGGGTAGATGATTGGCTCGAGTGACTGCAAAGACCGGACAACCTCAATGATCGAGGGTCGCTTCTCGGGCAAAATAGCAGTGCAGCGAAGAGCAAGCTCCAGTACTTCCAACATGTCTCGCTGTGCCGTGCCAGAGATCTTAGGATCCAGTATTTGTGGAGCTCCATTGGTCATGTTTACTTTCCTTCTTACTAACTTGACGACGTCGAGCATCTCCCGAGCTTCTGGCTGCTCAGCTGGCCTTCCGGTGATGAGTTCCAGTAGCACAACCCCGAAGCTGTACACGTCCATTTCCTCTGATGGTTTCTTGCTGCTGCAACCATACTCTGCAACCATTAGCAGCATACATTATCATGCAGTTTCCAGTGCCAACTGCTTATAATGAAGCAAGGCAATGTTCTTGGCATCTATAGCAAGTAGATCTTGTTGTTACAATTTCAGCTAAAGGAAATTATATTAACCATTACTAGAGTGCAGTGCATTACGTCTGTAGCATAAAAGAGACTTATCTACTATTTCACTCAAGAACATCATGTGGCTGTAATTTGTATATCATCAATGTTATTGTGATTTCAATCCACTTCAGTACAATTGATGCAAGAAGAATAAAGGCATCTCATGATTAAATTGGCTTGACACCGAAAGAACTGCAAGCAATGTTTTCTCACATTATATAGCATACCTGGAGGCATATAGCAGTAGCTACCCAACTCGGAAGCTACTGATGATTTGTATGAGGTCTCCCCAATCACACGATCAAGGCCAAAATCGGATACCTTTGGCTCAAAATCATCTCCAATGAGAATATTGTTAGATTTCATGTTCCTGTGAAGTATCTGCGAGACATAATCTTTGTGAAGGTAGAGTAATCCTTGTGCAGATCCAATTGCCAGTTTGAGGCGAAGACTCCACTCGAACGAAAAGCCCGGTCGACGAAGAGCATCTCCTAAGCTCCCCTTTCGCTGGTACTCGAAGATGAGAAGAATGGTGCCTTTGGAGTAACAAAAGCCCAACAGCTTGGTCAGGTTCCGGTGCCTGGCCTTTGCCAGTATCTTGATCTCCGACTTCACCTTCCTGAAAGATAAATTACTGGAGTTGAGCAATCTCTTGACTGCAACAAATTCTCCCCCTGGTAGCTGGACGACATGAACTTTGCCGAAAGCTCCTTCACCGATTGCATTTTTCTCGACTAAAGCCATCAGCAGTTCCTCCTCTGTGATCCTGAGAGGATAAAAGAACACTGATTTCCATGTACATGGATTCGACTTGCTTCGAGACAACCTATATACCACATACAGTCCTGCAGTTAATACCATGAAACCAACAGCAATGGACATCACGATTACTGCCCAAATCAATCTGTTGGTGTTGAATCTCTGCCTTCCCGGTGGCACATTGCATGGATTAGGCAACCCAGGTCCACACAAGCCTGGATTCCCCTGTAGAAATGAAGCTGGAAGACCAGAAACCAGAGAAGGTGGAACACTTCCTGATAGCTGATTGAAAGAAACATTGAACAGAGCAAGTTTTAAGTTTTGAAGCTCCAATGGGATCTCGCCACTGAGTTTATTGTTGGAAATGTCGATGTACGTCAACACCGGCAAATGCCCAAGAGAAGGTGGGATGTTCCCGGTGAAACTGTTGTCTGCCAAGGATAAAGAGACCAACTTTCTGCAGTTCCTGAACTCCGGGATGGATCCAGTGAGAGAATTGTGGGACAAATTGATGATGCTCAAGACAGGCGAATCAAAGATGCTCTCAGGGAGATTGCCAGAGAAACCATTAAGCGACGCCGAAAACCTGTACATGGTGTGAACCAGACCGAGACCTCGAGGAATTCTACCCGTGAAGCTGTTGTTGTCGATCTGAACTTGCTCGAGCCGAGAAGACACTCCAACCAGATCGGGTAGTTCGCCCGAGAACTGGTTGTTCTCAGCTCTGAAGAGCTTTAACTCTGGCAATGACCATAAACCAGATGGAAGTTCCCCAGCGAAGCTATTGTCGTGCACCTGAAACCTCTCGAGACTCGAGCATTTCTCGATGATATTAGGAATTGGACCAGTGAAGGAGTTATCGTGAAGACTGAGCTCGATGAGAGATTTCCCATAACAAACATCAGTAGGAAACGATCCGGAAAGCATGTTCTGAGAGAGATCCAGAGTAGTCAGCTTCAGAAAGGCCAACCCAAACCCCAAGGGGATTTTCCCTGTCAAATTGTTCTGGGAAAGGTCTAAAACCTTCAGTTCACGAAGACCAAGGAAGGATTGAGGAATGGCACCATAAAGACCAGATCTTTGCATCAGAAGCCATCTCAGTTTAGCCAGTCTCCCGATTTCTTGCGGCAGTTCAGATGCCAAAGATGGGTTCTGAGACAGGTCAAGAAGGACAAGCTCACTCAAGTTTCTGAAGAGGGGAGGATGGAGGATACCTGAGAACAGATTACTTCCCAAGTTTAGAACCTGGAGGCTGCCCAAAGAACCCAAGCTGAGTGGTATCTGCCCTGCGATGCGGTTCCTGCTGAGATCAAGTGTGGTGAGATTGGAGAGCAGAACTATCTGGTCAGGAAGAGTTCCCCAGAGGAGATTGTTGCTGAGGTTGAGAGTGACGAGTCCGGCGCACTCAGAGAGCTGGAGAGGGATGAGCTGGTTGAAGAAGTTGTTGGCAAGGTTGAGGTGGGAGAGCTGAGGGAGGTGGCAGATGGAAGGAGAGATGTCACCAGAGAGGTTGAGGTTGTGGAGATCAACAGAGGTAACCAGAGAAGTGGCGTTGGAGCAAGTGATGCCAGTCCAGTTACAGTGGGTTGTGGAGTTTGGGGACCAGTTGGACAGAGCCAAGGTAGGGTCCTCGATGGAGGACTTGAAGGTAAGGAGGAGGTCTGATTCAGAGGAAGAGCCGAGGGTACTGAGAAAGGATAGAAAGAGAGGAAGGAGGAGAGTGCGGAGAGCTGAGGAGGAAGCCATGGCAGCAAGCTCTCTGGTGTTCCTTCTTCCCACTCCTTGTGTCTGCATCAGATTTGTATTCTGCTGCGAAGGAAGGATTGTGTTTGACTTCAGATGCAGTGATGCTGCGGCACTGTTTGCTGTCTCTGAGTCGCCGTGTTGGCTGTTAGATTTAGTCCTTGGGCATTAAAGAGAGACAGATACAGAGAGTCCTCCTCGGTCAGTGAATGTACTGCAGCAGTCAATCCGACTACATTAATCGATGATCAGTTATTCATTTCAACATCATTATTGCTAAACAATTAAACATTACAGATAAGACATGCTTGGGATAAACAAATGGAGAAGATTACTGCTGATAGGGATGCAGAATCCAAAGAACCCGTGAATCCGATATGACATGTCAGAAATCTCTGAAGCAACAGCGGAAGGGACAAACCGAGTCCACCCGCCCAGTTCTCTCTCTCTCTCCCCGATAGTTGATACAGCTACGTCCAAAAAGGCGCATCGCTGTGCACTTTAAATTGCTGTACTCGGATGCTCTGCTTTCTTTTTTCCTTTTTCTCCCCTCTGAAGTCTAAACCATAGGAAGTGGCAAGTCAATGCACATGAAATGTTTTTGGCTGGAAGCTACCCGTGATTGATTCAATTGTCATGCTCTTAATCTGCGGTGGATGTTGTTGTTTGATGACCAAATGCTGCAGCCCATCCAGCGTCGATGGACAAGAGATCTCCAAGAGCCACAACATCCTTCATCCAAGTTCTTTCTGAAGGTGTCAGCCATGAAATAAGTCTATGGGCTTAATGATCACAGACACAAAGACACAACCCACTCGAAGAACATGACAACACGGTGGTCTTTTGTGCTCAAGCACGTTCCCCACTAAGTCCAAACCTTAAGCAGGGGATTGCAATGTACTTTCCCTCTTCAAATTATCTTCTTTACCTGACAGGTAAAATGAACACTGATCAAATTGATGTAGTCTTGCTCTACTACCACTTAAAATTACATGATCTGATCTCCCAGAGAAGAAGAGAAATCCTAATCCCATCCAAGGGCTCTTTTAGATAACAGTGGGGCCATTGCAATGAGTTAATGGCAATGGGTGTGGCCTGCTGTGGTGTGATGACTGATGTCCCATGATATGGACCTTTCAAGTGGTGAGGACTGCTTCAGCTCTGAATGAAATAAATTCTTGAGCAGGAAGACCACTGCACACCAATATAATAGCTCTTGTCCTGGAACACATTAATTTGGGGCTATGATGCAAGAGTAACATCCATGGATCTGACCTACCTCAGCAAGGATGATGATAATTGTTACATTAAGCATGTTCTTAATGCACATTTTGCACTATTATTATTAAACTATTATTTAGTATGTACACTGTTATG